AATATCCTACAATTATGTTGCTTAGAAGTCAATAGTAATGTTTTATTATTAGTTTATTGTTAATTTCACAAACTCAAACAATATTTAATTAGTAATTTTAGCAAGAAGAGGCTATCGCATTGTAAGTAGTCTTGTGCTCTCTGTGTGTGTGTGTGTGTGTGTATTCAGGCTCCCAAGTGATTGTCAGAGGCTTTTGGGACACATATATCATTTTTATGTATCTGCCCAGAACTCTGAAGATAATTCTGGCAAAGAGCAGGAACTCTATTATAAATATCACTGGCTGGCTTTCAGAGCAGGGGAACATGATGTGCCAAAGCTCTTCCTCCTTCTCCTTAGATATAACTCCACTTTTCCCTATTTTAAATGTCCAAGTTCTCCCAAGCTTTTGTCCTGAAGTCACTGCTCTTATTTCTCTCAACCTTCATTCTTTGTGATGAAGAAAAAACTCCCACAGCTTCCAGAACCTTACAGAAACCTTACCATTTATCCAAAACTCAAACACTCAAAACAAAACTCTTTATCATTCGTTAAAGACACAAAAACAAACCACTCCTTTTGTTCCTGCTCCTTCCAGTTTCAGTTAATGGTGTTGCTATCAGTCTGTTTGCCCAAGCTAAGATTAGATTCTTTTGCTAGAGCTCCCATTCAACTGGTCACTAAACCTTGTCAATTCTACCCAACATCTTTCTCTTATTTCTAATCCCTCACTCCACTCCCACTGCCCTTGCTCATCCCTTTGTCACTCTCACCTGGTCTATTATCATAGTCTCTACTGGGTCTCCTGACTCACACTTCTGCCCTAACAACTCTTCATCATCATTGCCACCACCAAAGTCCCCTCTCTGAAATAGATTTGACCATGGCAACACCCTGCACAAAAATTTTGAACAGCTCTCCATTACTTGTGAAATGATATTCAAACTCTCATCCTTGTGTACAAAGTTCTTCATAACCTGACCCCAACTTCTCCAACTTCATGTCATACTACCACCCCACTCCTACTGTTTTAGGGTCTGCCAAAATTAAGGAAGGTTTCCCTCCCTTATTCAAAATCAAATATGATTCTCTGCATCATAATGGAATAAATAATGTAGTGAGATACAAATTTTCTTTCCCCTTTTTACTCTAGCCAGCAAAATGCCAAAAAATATCCATATATTATCTGGTTTGCTTTTAGCCCTGTGTCCAAGATGGACTTCTACAATTTCAGAAGTCCTGAGCCTCAGAGCTTGCATGGCTCATTTGTAATGCAAATGCATACAGAGTAGTTTGTTCCCAGTCAGCCCCTTTGGGTGACTGTTCCAGCAAAGGAGGAAGGACCCCTTTGTATTACTTTTCTGGGTCCATGGTGGTGGAAGACTTCAATGTTCTTCTACTTTATTTGGGATACAAAGGGATGTGAGTCTTGACAATGTTTGATAAATAAATCAAAGAGCAAGTATTTCTAAACAAAAAAGCTTTAGACAGGGGATTGGCAATTATGTCCATCCCCCCTTTTAGCCTTCCTTAGGAAAAATTTGCAGCCTGGCTCTGACAGGGTCATACAGACCGAAGCAATAATTTGGTAAAGAATAATAGATGCCAGTCCCAGTCAGTCATTCTCATTGGTTTCTTATGAGAAAGAAACACTTGATGTCATGGTGCTGAGGATCCCAGTCTCTGGAAGATTCTCCTGGGGGTTTCCCATGCCCTTCATATCCTACACTTTAGCTACACTACACTTCTCACAGTTTGCAGAATATATGTGCATTTTCATATTATTTTCCATCACTTGAAATGGCCTACTTCTTTACTTATATTCTTAGAAATAGCACCTTTTTCTCTCTAGCTTGATATTTCCCTTCCCCAAAAGAGGTCCTGATAGCTTCCTCTTCTGACCATAATTTTATCTTACATTTATCACATTGTAGGTATTTGCTCACCAATCTACCTCTCTGTTAAACTGTATACTCTGGGACCATAAAAGTCTGTAAAGAATATGTGATACTATATATATTGGTGGAATTGAATGTGTCAACATCAAGCCTAGTCATCACTAGTTAACTGACTAGAGCAAAACATGATCTTTCCTGATCTAAGGTTCATAGACTAGACTTTGTCTACTTTCATTATGAATAAAAAGGGAAACATATTAACAATCTAAAGATTTTAGTGATAATCATTTAGTAATACTCATTTTCAAAGGGACATTCTATTCGGAAAAGATGAATGTATATTTAAGACAAGGAAAATAAATGAAACCTAGTCTCAAAGCCCGTAGTGGATCATTGTTGAAGAATTTATTGACAGACCATAGCACAGTGGTGGTAGAGCTCATTCACTGCTTACCTCTAAGGTCCCAAAGTAATTGAATAACCAAGTAGAACTGAAAATATGTATTATGCTTTGGGGGAAAAGAAACAGAGAAGTCAGTCTTTAATTTGGCAGGTCATTTTCAAGATGGCAAAAAGATACTCCTCTATGCTAAGAGCCGTTCTCAGCACTCTTCTCAAATTTTCCAGGTTGCAATAGCGTCAAGCACTGATAACAAGTGAGCAAAAAGTGTGAGCAGGAATGCAGACAATGGTTACTAATATCAACTCAGACATCATATGATTTTTTTTTTAATGTCCTAATCTAATGAATCCAAGCATAGCAAGGATTGTGAGGATGCTGGGCAGTGTTTCATTCTGTTGTACATAGGGTTATCAGTCGGAGCTCAGTAGTAGTTCTAATAGTAGCAATAGCAGTGGTAGCTACCAAGAGAAATCAGCAATAGCCATAGAAATAGTGTTCTGGTTACCTTGTACTACTCTGACAGGAATTCCATAAATGGGATGGCTTTAACAAACAGGAGTTTATTCTCTTACAGTTTGGGAGGCTAGAAATCTGAGTTCAAAGTGCCGGCTCTAGACTCACTGCTGTTGAGTCGAACCTAACCCATAGCTACCACTCCTTGGCTTTCTGAGACAGTATCACTACAGAAGTAGATTGCCCAACCTTCCTTCCAAGGAGTGGCTGGTGGGTTTGAACTGCCAGCCTTCTGGTTAGCAGTCAAGTGCCTTAGGCACTATGCTACCAGAGCTCCTCCAGGCTCTAGGGGTTGGGTGAAAACCTCTCAACCTTGGGCTTCAGTTCTGCCTCCTGCTCCCGGCCTACTGAAGGTGGAAGCTTTTCTTCACTCAGGCAGCTGCTGGCTGCTGAGGCTGACAAGCCCAAGGTTGACAAGTGAAAAGGCACAGTCCCAATGTTACCAAACAACATGGCAAGCCACTAATTCAAGTCCAGATGAAGTCCCAAGATCGGCAGGGCATGGCAGACTGTTGAACAATGACTTAGCTATATGCAGGATTCAAGTGTGCCAAAAGGTAGAGACCACTCCCAAAGCTGTTTCTTATATACAGGAAGCAGACCACATTCCTAAAGCAGCTACTCAGCTGCTCCCATAGATTCCACCATGGAGTTAATCACCCATCTCACCATGGAGAATAACTTACATTCAGCTGCTCAGCCACTCAACCAGGCCCAGCCAAGCTGACACACAAACTTAACTACCACACAGGTCTAGTTTCCAGTCAGGGAGAATGCCTAACACTAACCTATAAAAATAAATCCATGTCCACTTTTAAATATCATTAGTGAGAGAAGATTTTATAGTCTCATTTTGTATCTCAAACCTTTAAGATACTCTAAGATTGGCCACATTAATCTCCTTAAACATTAGGTCCAGAAATATTTTTCAACATTTATCTGACAGTAACACAAAGTTTTATTTCCTGAAAACTTTGCTTTTAGTGAACATAGGATGTTAGCTATAAAAGAGATACTGGCCTCCTTGTTTTAGAAATGGGGTAACTGAGATCCCAAGAAGCATGATTCAGCCTGTGCAAGCTAGAGGCAGGCCAAGAGCCTCTCTCATGTAGTGTCCTGCTCCTCTCTCAGCCTTGCCACTGCCTTGGCTCTGAGCAGTCACTGTGTCATTATAGGTAGCCAAGGCCACACACTGAGGTTACACAAATACCCATGCCCTTAGCAAAGAGTTCAGTTGGTAGGAAGGAAGGAGACTCATTGCACATGTTTGGCTGCCTATGGCCATGACTGTTGTCAGTTGAGGTCTTTGTGGTATCTTGATGGTTACCAAAACTCTGAGTCTTCTATTGTGTCTGTATTTCCAAATAGCTGGCATGTGGGTCTGTCCTCACTGTGTGCACTCAGAACCCTCTGCAGTTCTGTGCAGTTCAGGCAACATCTTTTAGCATCTTACAGACTGATGCTGAGAGAACCAAGATGGATACGACATTCAATAATACAGTGAAGTTAGAATTCATCTAAGAAAAACTGGTATATTGAAAAGAACATGAACTTGGAGGTCATACACCCAGTAGCAAATCTAGGTCCCCATTTCTCAGTTGACCTTGGAGAAGTTACATAACCACTTTGAGTCTCAGTTTATAAGGATATTTATAACTATTTCACAAGGTTGTTTAAATAATTTAATGAGATAATTTATGTAAAAGGCATAGCCTAATGTTTGGCATTCAGTAAATATTTGCGAGGGACCTACTATGTGCCACACATAGTTATAGGCACTCATGAAATGTACTGTATAAATATGCATACACATAAGAAAGCATGAATAAACACCACCTCTCTGTCCATTATCATTATTCTCTGTTCATTGGCAAAAAGCAATCATTCTTCCATGTATTAGAAAATATTAGTAAAGTGTTGATCAAGAAATTTGTTAACTATATAGATTCCCAAACCCCAAAAAGAGGAAGACCTTCAATGAGATGGACTGACAAGTGGCTACAACAATGAGGTCAAATATTGCAATAATTAGGGGGATGAAGCAAGACCAAGCACCATTTTTTCTGTGTGCATAGGGTCTCTATGGGTTGGAACTGACTGGACGGCACTTAACAACAACGTATGGAATCCCATCATTGTTGATGTTTTGTGAGAGTCCTTCATCTTTCTTATGCTTGAATCATCCCGTGTTTTCTGCTTTTTCATAGTGTCAATATGTATACCTACATCAGTGTGTAAGAGATGTCCTCAGAGCAAGGAAGCTACGGAGTGAACAAGAAAACCCCTTGTTTCCAATCTACGAAAATGTGAATCCCGAGTATCACAGAGGTAGGAGCTTACTTCACTGACTGTTAAGTTCATTTAACAAGATATCATCAATCTCAGAACCATTAATACCCTAGAGTTCTTCCAATGGGCACCACCCATTTCTTCTATCCACAGCTTAAGAGAAAGGCCCCCACAAAGAGTGACAGCAGGGAAGAGAGGCAGCGTGGGGAGGGATGCCCACATGAGAGAACTGATTTCATATGGTGTCCCCTCCTGCCTGCCCTCTGTTAAGGACTCCACCTAACACTTCTTTTCTAAGTGATATGCTCACTGCTAGGGAGGATGTTTTGAAATCACAACTGGGAGTTCAAATTGTAAAATCACTTTGGGGAAGAATTTGACAGTATGTATTAAGGTCCTTAATATATCCTTATCTTGTGATCCATTCTAGGTGCTGAAAAAGCTTTTATTTGAAGCTTTATGTAGCTAAAAGTATGAGTGAATAAACTCAGTAACAGTTGAAGACTAAGTATACCATGGAGCATTCTCTTAATAGAATATGATTTGGTCATTAAGGATTATATATTTGAGGAGATTATGGTAACATGGATATACTTATAAGTAAATTAAGTTTAAAAAAATCAGAATGTAAAACAAATAAAAACAATGCATGCTGTTGTTGTTGTTAGGTGCCATCAAGTCAGTTTTAACTCATAGCAACACTATGTGCTATGAACAAAACACTACCCACTACCCATCCTGCACCATCCTCACAATTATTGCTATGCTGGAGCTCATTATTGCAGCTACTGTATCAGTCCATCGCGTTGAGGATCTTCCTCTTTTTTCTTGACCCTCACTTTGCCAGGCATGATACGCATCTCTAGGAACTGGTCCTTCCTGATAACATGATCAAAGTATGAGAGATGAAGTCTGGCCATTCTTGCTTCTAAGGAACATTCTGGCTGTACTTCTTCCAAGATAGATTTGTTTGTTCTTCTGGTAGTCCAAGAATTCAATATTCTTCACCAACACTACAATTCAAATGCATCAGTTCTTCTGAGGTCTTCCTTATTCATTGTCCAGCTTTCAAACAGTGCATGAGGGAAGGTGGAGAGAGATTGGAAGGAAATATACCAAACTAGTACAACAAATTTCTCTGAGCAATTGTAATATATATGATTTTTTCTTCTAGTTCATGTTTTTTTCCAAATTATCTAGAATAAGCATGTAACACATTTTAAATGAGAAAATCAGAAAAAAAAAAAAATTTAATAAACTATATAGGGCACTACTGTGGTCAGACAGTAATTACACGACAACAGAAAGGTCCTCATGTGTCTTCTCACTCTGGGCCATCAGTAGGACCTAATTTATCACATAGGATAACTGGAAAGTTGAAGGTACTTTCTCTTATCATCTATTACTGCCTAAAAATTCACCCTAAAACTTAGCAGCTTAAGTCAACATTTGTTCTCTCAGTTTCTACAGGTCTTTTCTAGGTTGTTTTCTGGCCCAGGGTGTCTCTCATGAGGTTGCAGTCCAGATACTGGCTGGGGCTACAGTTATCTGAAGGCTTGAATCCTCTTCAAAATGGCTCACTCACATGGACACTGAGAGGAGGTCTCAGTTTCTGGCCACATGAACTGATATCTATCTATAAATCAGATGATAGAGTTTTACAAACATTATTTCAGAGCTGTTTTATCTCCATTTCTGATTGATCTACAGTTGTTGACATCTCCTAACATTATATGTACCTCTCTGCCCCCTCTGTGTCCACCCACCTAGCCAGTTAGTTAAATAGTTAATCATTGTAAAGCACAAATACATGAGAGAGATGCTATTTAAAGGAGTGCTTTGTAAATCACATAATCCTTTTGTATTGTAAATAATTACTCCCTAACTTATCTGTATAGTAAATTAAGGGTTTCACATGTCAGATTCTTCAAGAAGCTCCAGGATGGAGGGGGCTCTGGGGAACATCGCAGGTTCTTTTTGTTGTTTTGACTTGTTGGAGAGTCTTTTATTATTTTATTTTTTTAGAATATTCTTGGGTGCTTCTGAAGAAAGCTAACTGAGGTATAGAAAGGACAACCACCAGGCACCTAAATGTTAAGATTCAAGCCATAGTTCTGGAAATAACTCGCATTAACAAGCTGTATACCCTTGAGTGAATTACTTTGCCGCTCTGAAATTGTGGCCTCATCTGTAAAAGCAAGTGGGGGTGGGGGATGGGGCAGTAAGACTGGAATCTCTGGTCTCTTCAATTCTTATCATCTGTGGTTCTAAATGGAAAGCCCTGGCCCCACAGGAATGATCTCATCCTAAACCATATTGAGCTTTAGTTCTTTCTGTTGTTCTTAACCATTTGTAATTTTAATAAACAGAACAAACAACTATGCCACACCCTACTACAGCCTCTGATTACAATGTCCTTACTTTCAGATGGAGTCTATTCAAGACATTAAGAATGTACCCCAAGATCTTCTGGATACAAGCTATTCACTGTGTGATTTTCTAAAAAACTTGCTTCATGCTCTAGAAAGATGCCAGCTATTTCTGTTGATACAATGTATAATTTATTAATCTGGATAATTTTAAAGAATTTATGTAATTTAAAGGTAACAGATATCATTGTACATAGTTATATTTTGTAGTTTCTTCTGTAAATATGTATTTTTCGTAATGTATAATATTAAGCTTTATGTAATACAATTATTCCAAACGAAACTGTTCCTGAATTGTTCTACATAAACTAATTTAATCTATATGACAGGACTACTGGCAAAATGTATATAGTTGCAGTTGCAGAGGCATTTCCTTGGGCCATGATTTTTACCTATTTAGATATTCACTGTGCAGATTAAAGGACAGGGTTGGAGAGAACGTGCAGTGTGGCTGGCTCTGCTGTAGGCTGTCCTACGAATCTTAAGATACAAAGATGATGCACATGCTCTTTGGACAAATACAATCATCAAAAACAGGTTTAGAGGGGAAGAAAGATTAGGTAGTGCCAAGGCCAAAACTGGGTGGTTATGCACAAACTAGTTACTCTTCACTTTCTCATGCCAAGGGTAGAGGCCAAAGTGGTCAGCTCAGGGGCCATGTAACTTGTAAGGCAAGCTCAAGCTGCAGGCTTATGTGTTCTGATAGAATGTGGTCCAAGCAAAAGTAATGAAGCCCTTGTGTTAAGAAGAATGCCATCTGTAAGCATGCCAGTAACCATGGGAATCAGTCAACACCCATAGTGCTTGGAGATTATTTCATTACATTCCTATCAATATCTGAATGTACACTGGGGGGAGCGTGGAGTATAAACATGCATACCCATGTTATAATGTATGTGTTGGTTTATGTACATGCAGCAGTCTTTGTCTCATTTCCAGTGGGCTGCATTCCTGGAAACAATCAAAACTGTGCCAGTCATACTTGATTGCCCCATTCAAATAAGACTCAGTGGTAGATTATGCTTCTGGTCAAAGGATCTAATACCAACAAGTTTTATAGAAATGTCCACAAATATCATATATAAAATGAACAAACAAAAAAACAACTCAGTGGTGCTTAAACTTTTCCAAAATTAATGAGGTTAAAATGGTAAAGAGTCACCTAAAGTAAGTTACATTTACTGTAATAGACACTACATACTCTACAAAGTTTATCTTATGTCTTTATTTAGACTATAACAGATTACAGAAAGTAGGCATTGCTTTCATCAAGGTCAAGTTCCAAGGGCCTCCCTGGGGAAAATTTGAAAGGCATCCTCTTGGCTACCTGAGAAGAGGAGGAAGGGAATATTTTCTTTATCTCACTGTAAATTTCTCTGTAATAAACTTAGTGATTAGAGATCAAGTTGGTGGATCTCACAGCTTCATTTACAGAACATACTTTTTTCCAAGTATTTATTTTTGCTACTACCATAAAGTCCATAAAGTCCCATAATATAGTGGATATAATTTGCATAGTAATAAAAAATCATTAAAACACATCTAAAATAGTTACTTATAGCTATGTGAATATACACCCAAACTAGAAAAAATTACAGGGGTATTTGAAGGCTACACAAATAGGAAAAATCTTCATAAGAGTAAATGTGAGGAGTAACTTATAAGAGTACTTGAAGATTTCACAGTTTCTTCATGGTCCTGTGCAATGACATTGTTAAGCTAAGATTCTGCATTAGGGTACTAGGTGGATCTTCTAGAAATTAAAAGGGGTACCATGTGTAAGTGAGGCAGAAGGAGCTCTGGTGGCACGGTTGGTTAAAAGCATTCAACTGGTAGCCAAAAGGTCAGTGCTTAGAACGCACCAGCCGCTCTGTGGAAGAAAGATGAGGAGTCTGCTTCCATAAGATTTACAGGCCTGGAACCCCTGTGGGACAGTTCTACTCTGTCCTATAGGGTTGCTCTGAGTTGGAATTAACTTGATTGTCATGGTGGGGTTTTTTTATTATTATTATTATTATTGTGAGGCAGATGGACCAATAAGGAGAAAATAGAGATGGTCAGAGATTTATGAGGTGTAGTATCTAGTAGGAATAACTTTTGTTAAAAAAAGAAAAACAGAATTTTAAACTAATGCTGCTGGGGCTCATATTAATGCGAGGAAATATAAGTTTCTTTTCAACTTATCATTCATTCAGAGAACTTTTAGTAAGTGTCTGCAACCTGCTAGACACTGTTCCAGAAACTACACATTTCTACATTATGAAAACATCATCATAATAACATTAGAGTTGCTGTTACTATTTTCAATTAAGCTTAAAAGAGGGCTTCAGCAAGGCAGTGAGATAACTGAGCCAGTCCGGGCGGCAGCTCTGCAGACCACACACTGGGACGTGTTGATACCGCTTCAGGAGCAAGCTACTGCGTCTGCAATAGAGAGCGAGCAATTAATTGCACAAACTAGAAATTAAAACTATAAAAAACCTACACATCTGTAATAGCAAATAATGCTTACGGACTTTACCAGTGCCTGGGGGAGAAATGGAATCAGAGTTATTAAACTGGATGTGACAAGGAAAAACTATATGTTCTTTTAGTCTAATGCAGGAAACATTGATTACTACACTCCACTGTCTAATTTTAAATCTCCTTAGCAACAAATAGTTCACTATTCCCCCTGATAAGGGGAAATATATAATCTAGTTGATCTATTTATTAAATTTTGGAGGGGGAAAAAACTCTATTTCCTTGACATTTAGCCCAATTGGGTACATTTTAATTTCCTCCCATCATGTGCTACATCTTGGTAAACATTCCATTTCCTGTCTTGGTGGGCATCCTGTCTGTGCACCTGTGCCATGCACTTTAATCATCAAGGCATCAAAGTGCTTTTGAGCTATCAAATGTTGGGAGAGTCCCATCTTGCATCTTAATAATTATTTATCCAAGTTCTCTATAATTAACTTCTTTAATCTCTTCTCATTAAATCAATTTCTTATTATCATTCCTCTGTTCTCTGGATAGAGGCCAATTTTCAGATCTTGAAATCAGGTATTTCAAAGACTCACCTTCCTGCCTTGACTTGCACATATTTATCCTAAGTAATTTACCATCTCTTAACACCTCTGAGTTCTCTCTTCACTACTTGCTCCTCTTCTCCTTATTAAACATTTGTTTTCCAGTCAAATGTGATTTTATTTTCAGTTCATCTTATCTCCTTATACCTGGTGGTATAATTTCATAATCTATTCAGACCCTGCATTGTACAAGAGATGACCATGACTTCATTTTTAAATACTAAAATGGATGGCCCTAGCTCATAGAGATTTTGGGGGTAGTTTTATTTGGGAAAGTGTTTAATTACTTTTGTTGTTATTTCTTGGAAGAAACTCCAAACTGACAGACGAATATAATATGAAACCTATAAACAGATTTCCAGAAATACAAAAATACACCTCACATGTTACACCTCACACTTGGATTCTCGTGCTTTGTTGTTGCTGTTGTTAGGTGTCATTGAGTCAGTTGCGACTCACAGTGACCCTACGTACAACAGAATGAAACACTGCCCGTTCCTGTGCCCCTTCACACTGGTCACTATGTTGGAGCCCATTGTTGCAGCTCCTGTGTCAGTCCAGCTCATTGAGGGTCTTCCTCTTTTTTGCAGCCCTCTACTTTACCAAGCATGATATCCTTCTCGAGGGACTGGTCTCTCTTGATAATATATCCAAAGTACATGTGACAAAGTCTCACCATCCTCACTTCTAAAGAGCATTTGGCTATACTTCTTCCAAGACAGATTTGTTCATTCTTCTGGCAATCCATGTTGTATTAAATATTCTTTGCCAAAAGCATGATTCAAAGTCATCCATTCTTCTCCAGTGTTCCTTATTCATTGTCCAGTGTTCACATTCATATGTGGCAATTGAAAATACCATGGCTTGGGGCAGATGCACCTTAGTCTTCAAAGTGACATCTTTTCATTTTAACACTTTAAGGAGATTGTTTACAACAGATTTGCCCAAAGCAATTCCTCATTTGATTTCCTGACTGCTTCTTCCATTGATGTTGATTGTGGATCCATTAATCTTTTCTCCGTTTATCATGATGTTGCTTATTGGTCCAGTTGTGAAGATTTTTGTTTTCTTTGTACTGAGCTGTAATCCACACTGAAGGCTGTAGTCTTTTACCTTCATCAGTAAGTGCTTCAGGTCTTCTTCACTTTCAGTAAGCAAAGTTGTATTAGCTGCATATTTCAGGTTGTTAATGAGTCTTTATCCAATCCTGATACCACATTCTTCTTCATATAGTCCAGCTTCCCAGATTATTTGCTAAGCATACAGATTGAATAAGTATGGTGAAAGGATACATACAACCCTGATGCATTCCTTTCCTGATTTTAAACCATGCAGCATCTCCTTGTTCTGTTAGAACAACTGCATCTTCGTCTGTGTATGGGTAATGCATGAATAAAAGTGTTTTGGGATTCCCATTCTAACCAATGTTATTCATAATTTGCTATGATCCACACAGCCAAATGCCTTTGAAGTCAAGAAAACACAGGTAGACATCTTTGGGTATTATCTCCTTTCAGTTAAGATCCATCTGATATCGGCAATGATATCCCTCATTCCATGTCCCCCTCTGAATCTAGCTTGACTTTCTGGCAGTTCTCTGTTGATGTACTGCTGCAACTGTTTTTGAATTATTTTCAGCAAAATTTTATTTACATGTGATATTAGTGATATTATTTGATAATTTCTGCATTCTGTTGGGTCACCTTTCATTGGAAAGGGCATGAATATGGATCTCTTCCAGACAATTGGCCAGGTACCTGTTTTCCAAATCGCTTTAGTATCTACGAATGCAGTTCTTATTTTAAACCTTCTTCTTTTTGCAATAAAATTCTTAGGCTGTATATTAAATTCTCATTTATGTAGTTTTCTGAGAATTCTCTGCAGTTGGAATCTAGAAATCATAAATCTACCAAATCTGTATGACAGCAATGGTGCTATTAGAGCCCCAACTCTGAAGTGTCCTAGTGTTTTACTTCATGAACGTTGGCCAGAACAAATGGAAGTTGGTAAAAAAAAAAAAAAAAAAAAAAC